TTGGTTTAATTATGATATACTTAGATAAGGAAACTGGCGGTTCTTTAATAAATTCCTTTATAATATACTATTTTTTAAATCCATTCTGATTGGAGGTAATGTATTCGGTTCTGCAACTTTCTTAGTAAATTTAAATCAAATCTTCTGTTTGCATCTGTGATTTTTTGTGTGTGTCATATTCATTATAATAAACACTCAGAAGTAGTATAACTTAGTCATGTTAAGCATGAAAGCAACACTGAAAAAGGTTGTTTTGCATATTGAAATAAAAATAATTATTTTGATAGGTTAAAAGGACTTGTGTTACAATTCATGGGGTATCCAGCTTAAAACAACTAATATAGGCTTTTAAGACAAAGTAATGAAGAGTCAGGATTAAAAAATACATATAAAACCTTTCACACTTTATATATCTCTGTACATTTAATAACACTTCTACCAAAATAATTTCATAGGCTACTCCTGTGACTGGTATGAGATCTCTATTTTTCTTTGAATATTTTTATAGTATGCTGTAGTAGGTTTGGAAATATATATTAATAATAATATATTAAATAAGATATATAGATGATTATGGTTGAGAAACACTACGTTTGACCAGTGGTCCCCAACCTTTTGGGCACCAGGGACTGGTTCTGTGGAAGGCAGTTTTTTCACAGACTGGGGGGGGGGGGGCGGGGGGGGCGCAGAGAGGAGCTGGTTTGGGGATTGGGGACCCCTGCATTTGACTATAACTTTCATCAACACTAGTCATCCTACCTGGAAAAAGATAGAGTGGAGTTTAATAATCTTCCAGGCACAGATTAAACAAGAATTATCCATATATAGTTAACTTGCAATGTATCTACTGTAAATATTTAATGTGATGGAATCATGATTTTATGAAATTGTGGATCAAAATCATGGAAGGCTAACATAGAAAGATGCTGAAGTACTTGCCCAAGACTAAGTGCTGGAGATCCCTTGCTGCCTGATACCCTCCATAGCATGGGAGCATCTAATGCTAATATTAAAAATATTTATTTTATTTATTTATTTTTGTCAATACTATGTTTTTTCATTTTGCTTAAACTTTAAAGTTTGCTAAATTGTTTTTTTCTGATCAAAATCTAGAGCAAATTGCCCATGGGTTAAAAATGTATTAAACTATGATCAGGATAATGACTTCTAATGTTTCTTATTAATCTTAGGAACACTGTTATTTCCTGAAACATGCTGTAAATATAACATTTCTTTGTCTAAAGCAGGGGTCTCAAACACAATTTACCTGGGGGCCGCTGGAGGCAGAGTCTGGGTGAGGCTGGGCCGCATAATATACTTTATATTATACTTTATATTTATATTATACACTAATATTATACTTTCATATCACGGTGGGGGCCACAGGATATCGTCCTGCAGGCCGCAATTGGCCCACCGGCTGCGAGAATGAGACCTCTGATCTAAAGTAATTCCACCAAAGATACTTAGTATGAAGCTATATCTCTAGGTGGCGCTAACTCACCTTTAGATAGTTTTATTAGCAAAAATAGTTACATGTGCAAGAAGTTCTTTCTTGAATAACTCTGGAATTTTGCCATTTTTAATTTAAGCAAATTAATTTATGTTTTGTTTTTTATCATTGTTGATCCCAGTTATAAATGGTTTAACTCACATATTCTTCATTCCAAGTTGGCTTTCACTTAATCACCATTGACCAATGAATCAGGATCAGGTTTTGTCTAGTCCTGAGATCCCCAATGCCCAGGCTACGGCCCACTACCGGGCCTTTGGAATCGGGCCATGGAAGTGGTTGGGGGAGTGTGCGTACGCATCCCACTTGTGCAAGCAGCGGGCAAGTGTGTGTGCACACTGCATTTTTGTACAAGTGGCAAGTATGTATGCTGCCACTCGTGCAAATTGAGCTGCATGTATGTGCTTGCCTGCCGCTCTTGATGACCCATCCCCTTTGGAATGCCAATTGTACTAAGGGATAAATTGCTTCTCACAATTTTTTATAAAAATATATATTCTAGTCTTTCCCAATCAAGGAATCCTCCAGACTTCAATTCCCAGAATTCTGAGAATTAACAAAGGATCACCTTGATTAATGAATTCTGGGAACTGAAACCAACATATATAGAGGATGTCTAGGTTATATGCAGGGTTGGGATGCTACCAGTTCTGCCCGGCTCTATAGAACCGATAGCTCTGAAGAGTAGCAGACACCAAACCGGTTCTGTGTTTGCTGCTGTTTGGCCCACCCGCCCACCTGCGCGGCACAGCTGAGGTTGAAAAAGCGGGAAAGTGGCTTTTCAAATGCTGCGCAGCTGTGCGCAGCACTTTTCAGCTGTATGGGCGGCACAGGTTAAGGTTTTTTACACACGCACGTGACAAAATGAACTGGTAGTAACACCCCTGGTTGTATGTATAAATGTACTATATGTGTGTACTATATATAGTAGTACATAGTAGTACACACTATATATACCAGACCCAGATAAAGGGAGAGTTCCTGCTGGAAGTTTCATAGCTATTCGGAGTACAACAGGAGGGCACATAGATTGCCTTTCTTAGTAGCTGCTCCTCTCAGATAACTTTTGTTGTATATCTTTCTGGAGCTTTCTAATTTCTGGAGCTTTCTAATTAAGCAGCTGGAGGAATATCTTTGCCATTCCTGTTATTGATTGATTGATGTATTGTTACTCTGTTCTGCATTCTGATTATGAACATCGCTTAGAGCTTCTGGAATGTGGAGGTTGATATACCTTGTAAATAATAAATGGGAATATACGAAATAAAAATAAACCAGATCATAAACTTGCTCTTTGTGTGATGCACATTCCCTGCCAAAGAGAAAGGGAAGAACTTAGCACCAAATTCCCTTCTTCTCCCTTAGATTTTAGGCCAAGCTTTTCCTTGTTGCCCATTGCAGTTTGAAGGGAAATGAATTGGCTCAGCTGTTGAAGAAAAAGTACAGTATGATATCACAGGATGCAAAACCAATCCAGAAGCAGCTCAAACTTCTTGCACAGAAAAGCTCTTTCTCTCACATCATCAGATCCTTGAGATTTTTATTATTTATTTGATTGATTGAGTTCTATAGCCATCTCAGCAAATGACTCTGGATGGCAGAGATCAATTGGTAGATCTGATTTCCCCGCATAATTCAAGCTAATCTTAAGGCTTCCTCACTGTCTCCTTCTCTTTTTTTGTATGGTTCTCCAAAGATAGCAAAATAAAACTCAGTTCACTTTGTTATTCTTCCCTTATCTTTTCATTCCCCCACAAACCATTTTGATCAAAACTTTTAGAAGTACATGGTTTCAGCTCTCATAACTCCCAGCTAGCATCCTATCTGGAGAACGCCAGTAAAAAGACTGACAAAGTATTTTGTGTGCTAATTTTTCCTGTCATTCTCAAATTTCAATTCAAAATAGAATTTTAAGGTGATTTTTTTTTTAAAGAAACCCATAGCTTTGTTCCACTGGAAAACAATCCAAAACCCATCATTGGATAACATCCATATTATGACTAGCTTCAGTAGACAAAAGGGGTGTGTAAGTTTTCAAGTTCCCTTAGTTCTAAAATAATGCCCCGAAATATTTTTTTCTCTCTTTCTTTTCCATCAGTTGCTTTTGAAGGTAGCATAATACTTGCTTTGTTTATGGAGATTCTCAGTCATCCAGGTCATGGATGTCCCAAAGATGTATTTTCAAAAGGCAAGTTTTCCTTCAAAAACAAGGAAACAAGGAAAAACAAAGTCCAGCTGCCTTTTGAAAAAGCACCATTGGGACAATGCTCACTTTGAATGCTGGTGGGCAGAAATAAGTTATAACAACTTACAGGTTTTTTTGAAACTACCATCAATGAACACAAACAAATCATAACATGAGAAATAAAGTATATGTCATATTTGGAGAACTGAGGTACTGGAAAAAAAAGTCTACTGGTTAAGATTTCATGATTTGATGAAAAGTTTCCCACTTCCCAAAACCCAGGACTTTTCTGAACCTTGAAATAAATGCATTTATTCTGCTTTCTGAAATCTATGCTGCATGTATGATCCTGGATTCCAGCCTGTAGATGTACAGAATAAAAAAGTGCAAAATACATTTTCCATACTGAGTAGCTTTGCATTTGATGCAAGCATTCTTTTTGCTCTTGTCTTTTGGGAATCATATATTTCCAATCCAGTGAAAGTAAACCAAAATCTAGAAGTGGTGGTGGAGTTGAAACAACATAAATTTAAACACAGCCAAATAAACACAGTGAATTTCAGAAAAAAAAAAAAACAGTTGCAAAATCTCAGGCTTAGTATCTGAGGTAAGAATTTGCATAGGTATCTTGCCAGTCAATTCAAGGGCATTTGTTTAAGTTGTTGACTTATTTTAAAGCTGGCCTTAAAGAAATTATTTCACTCCCCCCTTGCACTTCATCTGGAAGTGTTTGAAATGACAGCAGCTGACTCAGTTCCATGAAGAAATTGAGTACTTCCTTGAGAAAAAAAAAAGGTGAATAAGACAGTATGGTCTTTGTTCATATCCCATACATGTGAAATATGTGAGCCTGCCACTGAGGAGAATATCAAGTGGAGTGGAAAACCCCAAACAATAGGTGCGAACTGGTAGAATCCCACCCCTGGTATCAGTGGGAATCAAGTTTGAGATTTAGAAATCAGAAAATATTCAAATGGCAATACTATTAGGAAAAGGCAAGGGTTTTTCTTCACTTTTTAGGCTGCTTAGGATAAATTGGCTGCTCTCTCTTTCACTTTGCCTGTTATTCCCACAGCTTCTGCTGATAAAAATGGTTGGGAATGCGCAAGCCACTGAATACATATCACAGCTACGAATTTCTCTCATATTTTATCTCCCACATTCTTTAGCCTGTTCACTTGCATTTTCCCATATGGTGACTTTGGAAAATTCCTTCCTGCATAGAAAAGGACAGGAAATTCTCTTTGGTGGAGAAGTTGCTTTCTCTCTCTCTCTCTCTCTCTTTCCTCTCTCTCTCTCCCCTTCCTTTCTAGTTGTGCTGATCACATCTGGAAAGCCTCTGATTCGGGAAAGGGGGAAAGTGTTCGGCACTCGACGTGTATAATGGCCATGGCATGAGCAAACGGAGCCTTTGGTGGGGGGGACCAGAGAGACCATTTTTTTCCCAGACATTTCCATCACTGTCCAGAAAGTTGAGGTGAGTTTATTTCTGAACTTTTAACTTTTTAGTTGCCTGGTTGTTGTAAATGGTAAATAGCAAGGGCTCTTTGGAAAATCATTCTGAACACCCAAAGCTGCATAACCCAATAATGCTGAACAAGTAATACAGGAAACAATAAGGGGCAAAGCAGAGGCCTAAAGGTACCAGGGTCATTGACTGTTTATTTTCTGTGCATGTCCAATTGCTTCCCCCACCCCCAGGAGATAACTTTCAAACAATTCCTTGCCTATTCAAGCACTCTAGAGACATCGTTCCTAGCCACAGTGATACAGAGATTCTATGACTTGATTGGTGGAGGTTCTGTTTTAGATCCTGGAAAAAAAAAACTTCCAAAAAGTTGTACCCATCAAATTAGTAACGTTATACTGTGCTTGGTAGAGTGTCACAGGATCTTAGCCAACCTTTGGTGAGGTCTTGGCAGCGGCTTGAAGTGAGGACAAGCTTTGAATAAGGCACTTTATATAAACCGAGGTTTTTGAAAAGCAAAGTGCCTCGAGATTTTCTTTGAGCTAAAACAGGAATTGGAATAACTTGCCTGATGCTATTACCTGCTTTGTGAAATCTAGCAGATGTTTCTTTATCCCAAGCATGTCCCAGGGGTATCTGAGCTGCTGTTGCTTCAGAGAAGGGAAAGATTGATGCCAAAAGCATGGGGATTTTGGTCCTTGCAAGCAGAACCTGGAGACACGCTCTTAATCCAGCAACTCTTATTTTGTTATGTTTTTTAAAATCTAGGTAACCTATCATGTGACTTTTCATTTCAACACTGCAACCATTTATATTGATTTCTCTCTCTGTGTTTTTGGGTATGTGTGCACTTAGGATGTATATTCATATGTACTTGTTCTTTATACAGACTGCATATATGTGCATGTGTAGGATATGTGTGTATACGCATATGTGAGAGACAGAGATAAAAGAAAAACAAAAATACTCATCATCCTTTAAGTAAGATATATAATATGCCAGAAATTTTATTGATAATGGAAGTCATTTAAGATCTGATGATTGAAATTGGAGTCTGGACAACAAATAGCTTGGACAGTTTCTGACACTGAACTTAGAATATGGAGATCTTATGGAGATTTCTGGAAAAACTCACTAATGTGGAACATAAACTTAAATATCAAAAGACTTGTATGTTTTGAGGCAATAATATTCTGTTTGAAGCAGAATATTACACATTTATGAACTTTGGAACTTGCTCATTTGCAAGCATGCCCTTGGAAACAATTATGTTTTAATATTCATTTTTCTGCCATGAGGTGGTTTTATCTTGTCTCCAGCCTCTGAGGGAAAATTCAGTTATCCTTAGCTAAACTAGTGTTGAGTAAGACTTTCTCCTACATTCTGACTTCATCCAAGGGGAACCTCAAGGTGTGTACTATTTGTTAAGTTTTTTATGTTAAGTTATTATTACTTTGGAAGGAAATCAGGGGACTGCAGTGACTGAAAACAGGCAACAGAGGCAGGTTAGATTTTTAACAAGGGGGAGAGCAAATACCATGGTAGTTTAGTTTTTTGCCTACTCAGAGGGGTGGGAAGGCCTTCAACTAGGCAGATTGGAAAAGAATTAAGTCTGCCAAAGATTTTATCCATTGACTGGCTTTCAACACAGTAAATTAAAGGACTTGTTTTGTTTTTGAAAAATTGTTACTCTTTGGTTTGTTCGTAGTGGTCAAACTCTGAAAAATTAAACACTGAGAAAAATGTTGAGTTAAAGAAGTAGTGTGGTGGAAAACTTCTCCAAAGAAATGGAAAGGATACAAACAATTATTTTATTAATATAACAGGTTGTTAGACCCTAAGTCTTGGGAGTGAAAAATCTGCCCTTTAGGGTTATTATGAATACATATGTAGCAATACACATTCAGTATACATGAAATGCATAATAATACTATTATAAGTATAAGATACTGATATAGATCAAGGGTGGACAACTATGGTCCTTTACGACCTATGGACTTCAACTCCCAGAATTCCTGAGTCAGCATTCCTGAGTCCAATAATTTAATGTTCTAAATAATTATTGTTTATATGGCATTCATAAACAATAAAAACTTCCATACTGGGAAAGAGGCTGCAGGTAACCCCATCTGAAATTAAAGCAGTTGCTCTAGAGAGCAGCTATTCCAGTCATTTAGAATTAAAATAAGGACCCCATAGTTCAACGGTTAAAGAAGCTGAGCTTATCAGCTGGAGAGCTAACAGTCCGGTTTGGACACCTGAACTCAACACAATGGGGTAAGTAAGCTCCCTTTGCTTTGCCCCAGCTCTAACAGTTCAAAAGCATGCAAATGAAAGTAGATTAATAGGTATCACTTCAGTGGGAAGGTAACAGCATTCTGTGCACCTTTTGTGTCTAGCCATGTTGGCTACATGACCATGGAAATTGGTAATGCTGGCTCCTTCAGCCAAGAAATCGATATGAGTATTGTGCCCTGTTGGACAAGTCTGAGAGGGAAACCTTTACCTTTTAGAATGAAATAAGTAAACAATGGGTTGTGCCTATAGTGGAAATCACATTATGGGCATTCTGGTTGCCACAGTGGTAGTGACTGAGTGCTTATCCACTTAGAAAATGGCTGCCATAGTGTAATCAGAATGGTAAAAATGTTGTGGGGCAAGGAGTTGGACACTGGGGAAACTAAGTTCAAGTCCACTCTCCTCCATCAAAACTCATTGGTGACTTTGGGACAATGCTCTCTTAGCTACCCCACTTCATAGGACTGTTGTTATGGGGAAAATGGGAACAGTTCACGAGAGAAAGGCAGATAATTAATTATTCATTCATTAATTAAATTTAAATAGATCAGCAGTGATTATTAAAAGCATACCAGGTAAGAAAGACTTAACAAATTTGGTTATGAACCACTGTAGCATTGTGCTGTAAGATGAAGAAAAGGTTTATCAGCGATTTTTTTCTTGGTTTACACAAATACTAAGATAATGACGATTGGTCTTCTGTTATAATATTTACTTTTAGAAATAGGATTTTGGGGCTGATGGACATATTTGGAAAGTTCAGGTTATGTTGTGAATACTTGTCAAAAATGGCTGCTCTGTTGATCATTATAAATCGCAAACTGCCATGTATCAGCTGATATTCTAGTCAAGTTTTTCCATGGATCCATAATCTATTATTTTTTCAGGGTTGATGGGCTACTTCCAAGCAAACTCTAGGTACAGCAACCTACCATTATTTTTCTAAGAATACCTATGGAGATACATATGACCCAGATGCATTATTATAAATAAAAGCTGATTCTTCCTTTTGTACGATGCCATTTTTATATATATTTTTAAATTAAAATAATCTAAAAGAAATAAATCAAGAGTACAGGAATAGGAGCCAAAAGACCATAAAGGAGCTTTACAAAGGTTCCACGGTGCCCACAAGATACACTTTTCCCCCCTATTTTTGAAAAGCTCTACATTTGATTAGCAGATTTTGTAGTCATCTTATAGAACTTTGATTGGTTATACTTGAGAGTAAATAAGGTTTACCCACTTGTTTTTCTGGGGTTTTTGTGTGTGTATGAAAATGTGTTTCCATTATGGAAGAGTGTGCTTATTTATGAAAAATAGCTAGCATCAATCCACAATACTCTGTATTATTTCCTTGCTTTCAGTGGAAATGTACCTGAACTTCCTATTCCTGTTTCCGGTGCTGTGGCTATTGATGCTTAACTCCAGTGGGATTCAAGGCCAGGACAACGAAGACAGTAACGAATTCCCAGACCATTCTCCTAAGCTACTCAATCATCAAGATATTTCCTTGGCTCAAGATTGCCCGAAAAAATGCACCTGCACCTCAGAAGGAATTGTGGATTGTGGTGGATTTTCACTGAAAGAATTTCCCATGAATGTCCCAGAAATGACAAGCCACCTTTCTTTACAGGTATAGGAACACTAAACAAAGTCTGACAATTCTTAGATGAGGCAAGCTCCCTTACCCCCTAGTCCCCTTGTAATATTTGTTCACTGCAAAGCTTGTAACTGAGTTTTTAAAACTGATTAGTGGGAAAGAGGTAGAGATAGCCCTTGTTTAGTGACCACAGTTGGGTCAATCGTGATCTCAATAGAGGTAGTCCTTGTTTAGTGACCACAATTGGGACCAGCAATTTGGTCACTAATGGAAATCATGATTATGCTTATGATCTTACCTCAGCTTTTGTTTACTTTATCTTCTGAACAACGTAAATACAAGGATTGATTGCAAAGTTACTTTTCCATCACTGATATAACTGGGTTTGGTGGTCGCTCAATGAGGCAGTGGCTAAAAAGGATTAGTTGTAATTACTGTTAAATCCTCGACTTACAACAGTTTGTTTAGTGACTGTTCTCAGTTACAACTTCACTGTAAAAAGTGATTAATGAGTAGTTTTTACCTCACAACTGTTGTAGCACGCCCATGGTCATGTGATCAAAATTCAGATGCTTGGTAATTGACTCATATTTATGTCCATTGCAGTGTCCCGGGGTCTTGGGATTCCCTTTTGCAAACTTTTGACAAAGTCAATAGGGAAGCCAGGTTCACTTAACAAATGTTTCACTTAGCTTAGCTTAGTTTGACTAATTTAACAACTACAGTGATTCACTTAACAATTGTGAGAAGAACATTTGTAAAATGGAGCAAACTCACTCAACAAATGTTTCACTTAGCAACATAAATGTTCGGCTCTATTGTGATCATAAGTTGAGAGTCTATTTACCTGGTTCAGTGCACTTTAATCTAAGATAAAAGTTGTTGTTTTCATATCATTTACACAAAAAGCTGGGGTAGAAGAGCACTTGCCCAATCCTGGGGAAAATTTCAGAGTTAGGGAACTGGAAATTGGTGCTATGTTTCACCCTCACATACTCCAAAGCATTTTTTTAACCTTCCTATCCAAACGGCTGCAAATCACTAGGAATAACAACAATAGCAACATAATTAATGGTTATACCTAAGCTTTTGAGTGGATTCAGAGGAATTCTTTTAGTCCTGGTTCTATTTTAATAGGCCTACTGTAGACTCAGCCAAAATTAAACAAATGTCCTCAACTTACCACCACAATGAACTCAAAATTTCCATTATTAAGCAAAGCAGTTGTTAAGTGAGTTTTGCCCCGTTTTATGACCATTTCTGCCAATTTTTTTAAAGCTAATCACTGCAATTGTTAAGTGAATTGTGATTATTAAGGGAATCTGACTTCTCCCAATTATTGACTTTGCTTGTCGGAAGTTGGCTGGGAAGGTTGGCCAGAGGGACCCTAGACAGTGCAACTGTCATAAATACATCCCAGTTGCCAAGCGGCCAAATTTTGATCATGCGACTATGAAGATGCTGCAACAGTCGTAAATGTGAAAACCGATCATAAGTTACTTTTTTTCAGTGCCATTGTAACTTCAAACCATCACTAAACAAATCATTGTAAGTTGAAGACTACTTGTATCACTGCATAAGCACATTCAAGAGTGGTCTCTTTGCCAGTCAGTTGATCCTGTTGTTTGAAAAGAAAACTTGTGCAATGAAGTTAACTAGGGATCAAATGCTTTCAACTAATATATTTTATTTTTAATACATCTTTTCTTTTAGAACAACCAGATAGAAACAATCATTCCAGAACAGCTTGCACGCCTCCCCTGGCTAGAAACATTGAATCTACAAAACAACAGACTCACATCCAAAGGTAAGCTGGAAAATCCAAAATAGCTTAAAAGTAAATATAATAGCCAGCAAAGACAATATTACAGGAAAAAATGACCATATTTCATATCCTAGACCTGTTTTTTTTTCCTGGCAAATGATTAGGTTCCTGGGGAGCTTTACTGTGGTCTGAACTATCAGTTTGATGGATGCATTTTCTAAATCTGAAGGACTTATTTGTGTATCAGAAAAAAGGGAGGGCAGTCTTAAAAGAGAATAAAACCCCACCACTCTTGGCACAAAATTAGCAAAAGAATCATTTCTGTATAAATGCAAAATTGGAAGAAAATGTTGCACTTTAAATAAAAAATATCTCCTCAGCATTGGGAAGACAGTATTTATCTAACATTCTTAGTATTTATTTATTTATTTATTTATTTAGTCAAAAGCTTACAATACAATAGAAATAAAAATAAGCATACGTTTAAATATAAATAGGAACTAATAATTGGGGACAATTATTCTTAGGAATGGGGTGAGGTCAATAGAGATCATCTGCTTTAATGTACCTAATTGTGAGGCAGATAACTTCAAAAATTCCTCTTTATCTTTAATCTAGATTGCCTTTAAATGGATGATAATCCTCTGTTCCTATTCTGCCACAATCTATACTGTTGGAACCATTTGGATATGCATGTAGGACTCACTTACTAACCAGAATAGGAACCAGGTTGCTAAGCAGTATGGTTGTTAAGTGTGATGTCATGTGACTGCACCATTTTACTTCATCAGTTCCAGCTGCAGTTATTAAGTAAATCACTGTAGGTCATCAAACGTAATGTCACATGACCATAGCTTGTGACTTTCTTCTGGCTTCCCATTGACTTTGCTTGCTTGTTATGAAGGTTGCAAATGCCAATAATGTGTCCACATAATGCTGCAACTGTCTTAGTGGCACACCAGCTGCCAAGCCCCTAGATTGCAATCACTTAACCATGGGAATTGCTGCAATGGCCACAGTTTCGAGGACCGGTCACAACTCTCTATTTTCACTGCTGCTGTAAGTTTGAGCAATTGCTGAACAAATAGTTGATAAGTAAGGACTAGGACTATGGTTACTATTATCCTGATCGGAATAATAGTCTATAGTTCTACACAACTCACCAATATCAATTGAAGCAGGAATTCGCTGTTCAAAATAGTCAATGTACCAGGAGTTTCTGCTTGGATGATCCCAAAGTATATAATTAAAACCATCTTTTAAAAAATTGAATCTGTATTTTGGGGAATTTTCAAATAGCACCAGCAGCAACCAATATGATAACACACATAAAATATTTTATGAGGTAAAAATGGCAGTGGTTACAACCAGTGAGATACTAATTGTCAAAATACTGTATTCATATTTTTAAGGGCTTCCAGAGAATACATTTGACCAGCTGGAGAATTTGAATTACCTGTACCTTGCAAATAACCAGGTTAGCAAATGTTTCAAGAGTTGCTATTTCTCCCCACTTGGTGTCCTCTAATATGTAGCCCTATGATTCCCATATTTCCCAGCCAGAATAAAAGGAAGTAAACTGGGATATAATACCTTGGCAGGTAAAACTTTGTGGGTTTGAAGTTTGAGGAAATAAGGGAAACCACCACAGTAGTTAGATGAGAGCTCGGCAACAGAGGCAACATAACAATGCTATGAAAATCATTAATAATATAAAGAGATTTAAGGGCTATTTAGATATACATAAAAGAACAAACCTGAACACAGCCACATTTTTATATATTATCAGTAAAACTGTATGTACCTTTCCCTGTAAGAACCATATCAGTTGCAGATTTTTCTTCAAATAGTTCTCTAAACTCATGAGGATATGATAAAAGGCAAATATTTTCTTTCTCTTATTAAAATCTTAACTTTTCTTTAAATGTACTGTATGTGACATTGAAATGAAATTTATATTACCTTTCAGAAGGAAAGTCATTTATTTAATATTGTTCCTCCTGTATTTGAGGATCTTCATGAATTTGTTATATATAAAAACGAATGAGAACACTAGAGAATGGATTAGATCAGGAGTGTCAAACTAAAGGCCCATGGGCCTTATCCAGTCCCCAGGGTGCTTAGACCTGGCCTGCAAGCCCGCCCTGGAAACAGCAAAGGACTGGTCCGCGGTGCCTCTGTCAGTGAGAACGGACGCGGTGCCTCTGTCAGTGAGAACGGAGCTCAGGAAGGCCAGGCGTATCCTCCACGAGCTCCCTTTTTGCTGGCAAAGGGTTGCAGGAGTCCATTGCGGCTGAAAACAGAGCCCTGGCATGCCTCTCACACCCACTCTGAGCTCCGTTTTCACTGGCAGAGGGCTGCAGGGGGCTGTCGTGGCCGAAAACAGAGCCTTAATGTATGACATTGAGCTGGCTCCCATCCTGGCCATGCCCCCCCAGCCCAGTGAGGTCAAACACAACCCTGTTGTAGCCCTCAATGAAATCAAGTTTGATACCCCTGGATTAGATCAAGTTAGATCAAATATCTTAGGTATTTATATGGTGGATTCAAATAATTATCTAACAATTGTTGCAATTTTGGAACATAATTTGTGTTGCCGGGTTCACTGACAACAAAATATTCCCTAAATTTTATAGCATAATAGATATAATCAACAGGCCCATCTAGACATTTAAATCCAACCCTTTCCTGACTACAAGAATCTGATTAAAAGCATTTCCAGCAGATGACTATTCACAAGTGTCTAGGGAATTTCAAGAAAGGGGAGAAAACTGTTGCCTTATTTGAAATGTCTGGGAAATGAAGTTACATAAACACTGATATTTGAATCATATGATTTAATCTTAGATCAGCATACAGCTAGCGTATCTCCACCAAAGTTGCTCTATGAGGAGAAAATATTTAATTACAATAATGCGGCAAAACAAGTGTCATATTGAAAGTTCAGGACCTAAAATCTGGTTTTTCTGTTTCTAATATTCTATAATTTTCTATCATTAGCACTAAGTTCTTGCATTATCACTTGCTTAATGAATATATACATTAAATATTTTCTTTCTTCCTCACTAGATAATTTCCTGCCAGTCTCCATTAGAGCCCTGCATTGGCCAAGTCTCCTTACTCTAGCCCAAGGGTTTTGTTTTATTTATTAATGTTATTTAACTGGTTTATGTACTGGTCTGGTCAGTAAATAACTCAGTGATAAGTGAAAGGGACATTCTTAATTTTGGAGTTCAGTTATGAAAGTTTCCATAACTCTTTGGAAATCCCACTGCTCCATAGTATTTGCTGGTAGCTGATAATTAAGAATTTGGATAGCCATCATCGTATAAAGGAAAAGTTCAGCAACTTGGTTTTTTTTTTTCAGACAATGTGCACTGTTATTGTTGAATTGCTATATCAAACTGCTTATCCAGTAACATCGTGTCCTTTCCTTCATATACAACAATTTTCCATGTAACACTTTTGGCAGTGAAGAGGGGTTCATAAAAACTAAATCCAAGCCAGGCTATGACTAATATTCCAGAACTTTTGTGTCCAATTTTTTTTTCCTATGAGGTAGAATTGCTATCATTGGTCTTTCCTGGTGCCACAAAAGCAAACTGCATCCAAATAATAAAAGCAAACCGGTTTAAAAGAGAATTCGATGAAATGTCAGAGACACCCAAAAAATATGGTTTTACATATTCAGGACTAAGAGACTGAAGTATATTTTCAAGCTTTAGCTGAAATTCACCTTCAGCAGAGCAACAGGGATAGGCTGGAGTTATTGCCCTCCCAGGTGAAACATTACATGCCTAGCCTTGGATATAAAACCTCAGAAAAGGCTTTATAACAATGTGCATTTAGGTGTCACAGTAAAATAAAAATATTTAGATTAAATTGAAAAAGCTGCATCAGGAATTTTAAACAGATAAAAAAATGTAGCATAGGGGAATAAGGATATGTACAAGTAGTACTTTTCAACATTTTCATGAATAACTTGGATAAAGAATCTCTCAGACTATATGACTCAAAATTGTAGAGATCCCCTTTGTATTGCCTTTTCTTCCAGTTTTTTCATTTAAAAAAAATATTAAGACCAGAACAGGACACCATATACTATGTGGAGTCTTCTTCTAGCTTTAACTCAGGGGTGGGATTCTAGCAGTTCGCACCTATTCGCTAGAACCGGTTGTTAACATTCTGAGCAGTTCGGAGAACCGGTTGTTAGAAGAAATTACTGGCATAATCCTGTAAGGAAGGCAGGAAGGAAACATTCTGGTGTTGCTTACAGAAACTGCCTCTCTGTTAACCCTTATTACATTCTTGGCAGGACTAGACTTCCTGTCTCAGGAACCTCTCTGGAGTTTTTTCGTCTCCTTTGCTGGTACTTTGCTCATGTGAAGTGACCATTCAAAATTACAATGGCACTGAAAAAAGTGATTTATGACCATTTTTCACACTTACGACTGTTGCAGCATCCCCAGAGTCATGAGAGGCCAGGCAAGGAGATGCGTGCCTCAATGTGAGTGATATTGAGTTGGCCACGCCCAGCCAATAACATAACTACCAAGCCACATTCACCCAGTCACATGACCACCAAGCCACACCCACAACCTAAGCCATGCCCACAGAACCGGTTGTTAAAAAAATTGAATACCACCCCTGCTTTAACTGGCACATAATGTATATTTGTTCAAGTAGAGAACAAATAATCACCTGTCAAGAATAGTAAATACTGTAAATTGGATTCCAAAATTGAATCTTGAACTTAATTACCTATATCAGGGGTCCCCAAATTTGGGAAGTTTAAGACTTGTGGACTTCAATTCCCAGAATTCTCCAGCCAGCTATGCTGGTTGGAGAATTCTGGGAGTTGAAGTCCACAAGTCTTAAAGTTGCCAAGTTTGGAGACCTCTGGCCTAAATGGTCTTGAGTTGGTCTCACTGGCCTCTTCCAAGTATGGGATTTTCTAACTGTGGTAGAGCTAGCAGCAAAATGTTGGTCGGTGAAATGCTCAAATACAGTTTTAGCCAGCTCAACCCTCCCTTGGGCTGTCCCCTTCCCATTTCCTAATTTTATTTCCACCAATTATCACATTCCTTCAGTCTGTGATAATTGTTGGATGCATTTTGAAGTTAATTAAATATTTCCCTATGAAATGTTATGTAAATAGTTATCAACTTAAAATCAACCAGTCAACCCTTAGGAATATTGCAAGACGACCATATTAGAAGAACGCTTTCCTTTTTTAGAATAGATCTTGGCAAGAAAAATAATACTAAAAGGCCATTCTGTATATGCAAAACATTTCTTTTATCATTTTTGTTTCCGCCCATCCAATGTTCAGTGCACAACTATTAACATAACATTAACATAATAAATGTTAAATGGTCATCATAGCTTCCCTATTACATCTCCACATGGTTACAACAGAGTCAGAAACACCTCGGTGGTTCTCAAAGGTAACCAGAAAAACAGTCTTCTACAAAAAAAAATTGTGGTTTATTTATATTGCATTCTGCTGGGGATTGTGGAATTAATGTTTTGGAGAATTCGTTCCCAAGCTTTTGGTTTTGTTGGGACTTGCCCAAGAAAGAAGACTCAACTATTTTTGGAAGGACACAAAAACTGCAAAATATATTTGTTCTCTCAAATCTGTGCTTCCTATAGATCTGTTGAGTCCAATAAGCACGGCTTTCCACGTGAAAGCTTAAATGCATTCCATGCTGGTATTTATTAGCATTAGAGAGGAAGATAGAAATTCTTGATCCTGAGAGATCTGAAGCAATTTTATGGTATCTGTCATAAAACCTTTCCTCACTTTCCTCAAAAAATAGCTGTTTAATATTCTGAAGAAAACTCAAGGATGAGTGTGCTTGAAGCCTTGACATATTTAACAACGATTTCCTTCTCTGTCCTTGTTTCTCTTTTTTCCAGCTCACAATAGCTCCGAAGTTCCTTCCACAGACTTTGATCAGTGTGGATTTTGCTGCCAATAATCTCACCAAAATTTATGATCTCACTTTTGGACAAAAACCAAACCTGAGGTAAAAAAAAAAAGGTTTTGAGGCAAAAGAAAAGAAAAAAAAAGAAGGGGATTTAATGGACCCTGTTTCTGCAGAATCATCATCAGCAGAAGCAGAAGCAGAAGCAGAAGCAGCTTGTCAAGCTGTACAATGAATGTTTGTAAGAATATTTTTCTTCAGGAGGAAGAGATCCAATCAAACAAATCTATGATAGCATCTTGACTGGATGTTGCTTGCTTACATGCAGATTGTAACTGCACTAGGAAATCTCTCTGAAAACCGGCCTGTTAATTAAAACTTTGCTAGTTCTGGGATTTATTATGAACATGAGATGCTATTTTTTTCTTTTTAACTTTTTCTTAAAGGATATATTTCAATAGCAAGAATAATATAGGTCAAAGAAGAAAGATGAATAATTGCACGCTCTCTGTTTCTCTGGGAGGTGAAAAATTCTAGGAACACAGTATTCATTCATTTTTTAAATTTATTTATCAACTTTATTTGCTACCCGTGCTTCAAATGACTCTGAACGGATATTGGATTTCTTTAGAAAGGAAAGCTTGTAAATACACTGCAATATTTGGTCTTCTTATACAAATATGCTACTCTAGGTTGGATGGATTAATAAATTAAAATCAGGAGCCAGAGATATTTCAGGCCTTTAAACTATTGTTTAATTTTGCATGGTGTTGACACTATTAATACATATGTAATTAGAAGGACTGACATCGTGTAATATATCCTGCAAGAATACCGAAATCTTGCAAAGTTTAATTACATTTGCTTTCACAATGGTTTGTTTGTTTGTTTGGCTTAAATGCTTCAATGGTTTTCACATCACAGATCCAGGAAACACTTGAAGGTGAACAGAAACTCAACCCCTACCTCCCTCTCCATCTCTAAATGTAGGGAATTCTCTTCCCCATATTAAATTTCCCCATTTATGCATTTCAGCATTACATTCACTGGCTGCCAAGGATTCTTGCCTTCAGTTGTCTGTGACTGAAACTGGGCTTTCTGTGGGTCTGTCACTGAGCTTATCTTCTGTGTCAAAGTGTCCCAAATTATGCAGTCCTTTGGTTATTTTCACAATCAAACATCTGCATTACCACATATTTCACTGGGAAGGGTGAGACTGATTGTTTTACTAGTCAGAAAATTCCAAAATAGTTTTGTGTCAAGGAAGAATTTGTTATTTAATCCCCACAGTAACATTTGATTCCCATGCACTTGACCCATTCACCTTTTTGTTTTAATCTGATCTCAAGGCTCATAATAACTTAAGACAATACCCTGGGGAGAACAACATAGAAAAATAATTCTCTAATATAGGGGCAAGATGAGGTAATTAATCCAGCAGGGTAAGAGAAGGAATTCCAGACATGAAGGAATGGCAGTAACTCAACCCAGTTGGGAGGATGCCAGGAATGCAGATAACCAAAGTCAACATAAGATAAACTCACATTTGTTCCCAGCAGACGCTGCACTCAGCTTGCATCTCTTTTAAACTATCTTCCAAGGTGTGGCTAATGAAGGGAATCAGGGCCCTTTCCTCCCCCATAAGCCATGCAACCCACATTGCTCTCTTCTTTGTTCATGCCTTAGGATGAAGAGGGAGTGAGCCTGGATCTTCCTCTGAATTCCCTCTCCCTTGTTCTATCTCTTCCCTGCTCTGCCCAGCCAGACTTTGCCTTTCACCAGTTTCCTCCCCAGCCAACGGAGCCACACTCCCACTCCCTGTCAGCTGTTCATCTTCATCCTCAGATTCAGATTCCGACAGATGTATGACATAATCATTGATCCATACTCTGCACTGTTGGCCTCTTCCCAGCCACTGTCTAAGTTTCCTTCCTGACATAAAGGCTCATGAGTGAAAAACTCCAAATAGATTTTATGAATTTGGAGAGTGCCCTTGATGGAGTAAGGGGGAAATGCTATTTCAACCACAGTACAGTTAAAGACAACATCAGGCTGTCTTCTTGCTCCTGGGTGAAGATGCAATGGAGACAGTATCAAAAGAAACCAGGAAGGAAAAAGGTTTCCAGGAGATGTTGGTCCCAAGGTTAGGACCAATTAGGAGAAGCCCTTAGAATAGAGCTAGAAAAAATGAAGCAAAGAACAACTGAGCTGTTTCGATAGCAATCAGCTATAAAGAAACACTGCAATAATTTGAATATTTTAGTTCTAAAAGAGGAAAGTGGGAGCATGTTAGAGTTGCATAGAATTATTTCTGGTGGGAAGAATGTGGATAGCTCCTGACATAACTAGACTGAGTAGTTGATATAAGAAAGTTCTCATTTTCAGAAAATTTAGTGGGATAGCAATCAAGCAGTAAATACCTGATTCCTAACCTTGTCTCTGTTTATCTCTGTCTCCTCCTCTCTTCCCTTCCCCAACCACCATCTTTTTTCTTCTTTTAGGTCAGTCTATCTTCACAACAATAAGCTTGATGATGCCGGACTACCAGAAAACATGTTCAACGGTTCTGACAATGTGGAAATCTTGATCATGTCCAGCAACTTCTTAAAATATGTTCCAAAGAATCTACCACGAGCATTGTATAAGCTACATCTTAAGGTAGAATATCAGTTCCAGTGCATATCAAAACCTCAGCCTTTATAAAGCTTATTTTTCTGAATTATTGAATACATTGAATGCTTAGCTATTGCATTTATAGATCATACTGTTTACCCAAGAACAATCCATAAAAGGATTAAAAAAGAAAATCACCTGATAAAGTCTTCAAAAAGTAGTGGCAACATCAAAGTTGCATTCTAAGCAGTAGCCAAATTATACCAGCACAAACCAAAAAACCTCAGGAGGTGAGTCAGACTTTGATCTTCTTCTGGCTGATACCCCTGAGAACGATATTCTACAGTAGAAGTGTCAACTCATAAAGCATTCCTGGCTTAGATGCACCATAAATTATATGAGGCAAAACTGGCTTCATTAGGATAAGTGCCAACATGTTGCTCCTAATAAATAATTGGATTTCTTTTGAATTTTGGCTCAAGGCTCATGATTTCATTAGAGCTTCTGTCGGAACCCTGACAAGAAGCACTAGAACAGAAAAAAATCTGGCAGGAAATTCTGGAGATTGTCTTCTTATATTCATTGAAGGTCATCCAAGTGGGGAAACATTGCCTTAGGATCATATTTGGCTTTTTCTCTGGCCTTTTCCTGTCACCACAACCATCTTAGAACATCCCTCTTATACTCTGAGGAGTGAAGTTTGAGTGAAGAGATACATACTCTGTTCCCTTTGTCTCTGGACAGAATAACAAATTGGAGAAGATTCCTACAGGAGCTTTCAATGAGCTGTCAGATCTTCGAGAGTTATATTTGCAGAACAATAAATTAAACAATGAGGGGATGGACAATGAAACCTTTTGGTGAGTTTGTTGGTTTTTAATGGATGCATACTTAGTGGATAATAGCAGCTGAATCACTTTGCATGGTCCCAAACAACCATGGAGCTCTTCTTCTAAGCATACTCAAGTGTTAAAGGGTTAGGAATCAATTTTTATTTTCTTTTATTGTAAGACACAATTGACTATTTTTGACTCCCTTTTTGTCCCATCTTTTGATTAAGATGCTCAACTGGAAATTGGAGTTGATTTAGTTTTTGACAAGCTTGGTTACATGTTTATCTTGTTCTTCGGTAGATTAAAATGGCAGCTTACAAGAGAAGGCTTCTTCACGTGTCTGCAAGGTGCAGTCAAAAAATTCAAGCTGAAGGTCAGAATGGTGTGACCCAGAGGTTTTGATAACATTGTCATGGCTGCCAGGTTGACTTATTTTCACCACTCCCTGTTTGTCCGTTTTAAAGGGGCAATCATTAGGTGTGGATTCTTGAACTGGGGTTTATTATTCATGAACTGTTATAGGTAGCAACAGCTTTTTATGTACATATGAAAAAAAACATCTGGCAGAATTGCAGGTATAGTAATCCCAATTGTTACAGTGATGAGGAACAGAGGCAAAACCTATTCTTTTCCCCTCTACTAACACTGTGTGTTTGGCTGCTTAAACACTTAAAAGATTTCCTTTTTTCCCTGCAGGAAACTCTCAAGCCTCGAGTACCTGGATTTGTCTAGCAATAATCTTTCCCAGATTCCACCCGGTTTGCCTCGAAACATTGTCCTTCTCCACTTAGAGAAGAACGCAATAAGATCAATTGGCAATGACGTCTTGACCCAAATCAAACACCTGGAATATCTTCTGCTTCACAATAACAAGCTCAAGGCCCGAGAGATCCATCCACTGGCTTTTCATGGTTTGAAGAAATTGCACACAGTTCATTTGTATAACAACCTGCTGGAAAAAATCCCCAGTGGGCTGCCCAGACGAGTAAAAACACTTATGATTCTCTACAATCAGATTTCAGAAATTGGCAGGGAGGATTTTGCTACCACTTATTTCATGGAGGAACTCAACCTGAGCTACAATAAGATCACCAGCTCACAGATTCATCGGGAGTCTTTCCGTAAACTGAAACTACTGAAGTCCTTGGATTTTTCAGGCAATAAACTCCGTACCATGCCTTACGGCTTCCCCAAGAATTTGCAAAGCCTCAAGTTAAAAATGAATTTGATCAGTTCCATTCCCAAAGGCACACTCTCTGGAATGACAAAGCTACAGGAGCTGTATCTCAGCGCCAACAAATTGAAAAACAATTTAATTCACAGTGGATCATGGAGAGATCTCACCAGTCTTAAGGTACAAACAGGCAGAGATCTAGACCCAGAGATGCATCTAAATGATATCAAAAATAGTATGTAATTCTTTCATATTGGCAGATCTATGGGAGAAAAATTAAAGTGCATGTTCTGAGAAAAACACAGCTACTATAGATATAAAATGAAAGAATGATGCAAAGCACACAATATGAAAAAAAAATATTATGCTAGTTTACAATAGAATCTGAAGCGCTGTAGACAGTATGAAAAAAAAACAGGAGGAGAAGGGGGGTAAATCTAAAACAGGTATATTGAGAGAGGTGGAATATTCAGGAATCAAAGACATTTCTATCTCTAACCATGGAATTAATATGCCCTGCTATGCATTTCTAAAGTCCTTGTGACAGTGCATTTGACTCATTACTGATTAAGAAAAAATGTAGCAGTTTTTAATGGCAATGTTTAATATATTGTGGGGTGGTCATGTAATCATCTTTTGTGACCTTTTGACAAGCAAAGTCAATGAGAAAGCAAGTTTCACTTAACAACTGTATGATTAAGTTAAAGAGGTGCAGTAGTTCACTTAACAATTGTGTCAAGAAAGGTTGTAAAATGGGGCAAAATTCACTTTTGTAATCTCTTGGAGGCTGTATACGAGGCTGAGTTGAAGAAAATTCTCTCCCCACCCGTGTGTGTGTGTGTGTGTGTGTGTGTGTGTGAGAGAGAGAGAGAGAGAGAGAGAGAGAGAGGGAGAGAGAGAAAGAGAGAGAGAGAGAGAGAGAGAAGAGCTAAAATTGTATAATACCCATTATCCCCCAATCTCTATTTTTCCCCTTTCCTTTCTAAAACCTTAAATTTTCTCTTCTGAGGAAAATGTAGGAAAGGGAGGGACAGATAATTCTTAAATATTTGAACATATCACTCATTGTAAGTTTTGAAATTGGGCCACAGGCTGGGAAGAGATGAGAGCCTGTAATCAGCAATTGTGCACTGATGATTACAGTATTGTGGATATCTCACAACCTAGCATCTACAAAATACAGATTTGAGTGAATTATAGGATGTGGGATTTATAGTAATTTACTCTTTTCATGTAAATCAGAATGACTATTGTTAATTAGTTAAATTGTTCCCTTCTGGATCCTTTTCCAGATACTGGACATGGCTGCCAATCATCTGACTTCTATTCCATCTGGTTTACCAGAAACTCTAGAATATTTGTATCTCCAGAGCAACAAGATCAGCATTGTGCCAGAGGATGCCTTTGATTCCACCCCCAATATCAAGGGAATTTATCTCAGGTGTGTAGCCAGGAAAAAGACTCTCAGAAAAAAATATTAATGGCTTCCCAAATGTAAAAAATACCATTTCCTTTTATGTTTGAACTCTATACTGTACTTCAAGCACGTGTCACTATGTGTGCTAATTGTTTGTGGACAAGAAATTGTGTATTCATTGTGCTTATAAATCCCTGTCACATTAAATGTAGCCCATGACTTATAACCGCTCATTTCAAGTTACAGCCTCACTGAAAAAAACACACACCATTTTCACACCATTGCAGCATGATCAAAACACCATTGTTACATGATCAAAATTCAAATGCTTGGCAACTGATTCATATTTATGACAGTTGCAGTATCCCGGGATCATATGGGATCACTTTTTGTGATTTTCTGACAAGCTAAGCCAATGGGAAGCCACATTCACTTAACAACTGTAGTGATGTATTTAACAACTCTGTCAAGAAAGATCATAAAATGGGACAACATTCACTTCACAAATGTTTCATTTAGCAACAGAAATGTTGGACTCAATTGTGATCATAAGGTGAGAACTACCTGTATCTAGATCTTTCTAACTTTATGCATATGAAAATATCCTGGAATTGTAAGACATCAGTTGTAAGGATGAAGAGAGGTAGAATGGGTGGAGAAGGAATCTCAAAACTGAAATGTGAGCAAAAAATGGAGAGAAACAGACTAACCTCCTTTCTCTTTACAAAAAGCCATTTTGTGGTATCTTCCTCTTAGTATAGAACTTATAGGACAAGGAAGGACATTGTAATAAAGTATTGGGAGGTGATTCTATTCATTTTCTTTCCTTTAAATTTCAAGGTTTAACAAGATTGCATTCAATGCTGTGAAAGAGAGCACCTTCCAAAGACTGAAGCATCTGCAAGTGCTGGACATTGAAGGAAATTTTGAATTCAGTGACCCCTTGAAAAATGAGGATCACTCGCAGGAGGAAATGGAGGAAGAGGACTAACGGGAAGTGGCATTTACCTGAAAACAAATCTTTGCTGACCCAAGCATATCACATGGTAGAAGGTTAAGTTAAATGCTTTTCTAAGCGCACACATAAATTATCTCTTTTACACAACCCACGCATCTGTGACAAAAACAAAGCTCTTTATGGCCCTATCCCATGAATTGCTAAGTTAGCATACAAACATATAGTTCACAAGTCTACATCATTATAATTGGTAATATCACAGATAAACAAGTGATAAGGATAGTATATCTGCATTGGCCAGCAGTATCACATCCATTATGGCTTTCAGGTACCTCCTACCATAGTGATTCTGCACTGATTGGCTCTGAATTTTGTGGCTCAGATATATCAGATATACTTGATAGGAAGACAAAGTGTGTGTGTTTTTCATCTGAATAATTACCTGTATATTGGAATGGAGGATGTCTTAGCATAGAGGTTCTCCTTTAAAAGCAGCAAACAATGAGATGAAATTGGCAGTAACAGAGAATTAATCTCATTTCACCCTCTTGTCAATCCTGCAAAATATATATATATATATATTCTCTATTCTTATAGGAAAAATAATTCCCCATCCCTCTGAAAAATCTGGTGACATCACCATCTCATTGTGGCCTCCCAGGATGAAAAATGCTGTCCCTGTCTAGCAAGTCACTTAGACAATTTTTAAAGAATCAGATCAATGACCAAACTTCAGAAATAGACAACAGTGGGCCTCTCTATACTGCTAAATTAAAATATTGTATGATTTACCATCTGCCACCTTAGTTAAGGCAATAGAAATTGCAATTCATTGTCATCCAGAGAGCCATGTTGACCATTGCTTTAGCTATAAAATGGTTAAATATTTGAGTTACTTTGGCTATGTGCATTTCAAAGTATTGTTCACTCTGAGTCACTGAGTAGTTCTGGCTTTATAAAATTTAAACAAATTTCTAGCTCAGTCAGCTTTCAAGTGTCTGATTCTTATCTGCAACCTGAAATTCTCCTTTGGCAGATTGTATTTTGACTGGTAGCCACTGATTGTATGGATTGTGATAAAGGTGAAATAAACTATTTCCTCCCTACAGAGCAACAAATCATTAATAACAGTCACTAGTGAGCAAATGGCCAAATAAATTCTAGAGTGGGATAAATGGTAATGATTACATAAATAACATTTTGATTTCATATTCATCAGGAACTTATTCAGCAAAACGGAATGTCTCTTTGGACTGTCTATCTGCCTCAGTCTGATTTGTCTTGATGGTCCATAAAGATACAAAGCACTTAAGAGGAAATGCAGCATATCTTATGAAAGTATTCAGTTTTTCTAATCCTTTGCCAAAACAGCCTGCTAATAACAGAGCAGTGGGTGAGCCTCCTCTTTTTAAAAAAGTGTTTCTTGGGTCATTGTGATGTTGTGAGAATTTACAAAAGCTGGCTTTTGTTTACTTAAAAAACACTTCTCATTTTTACTTGTTAATAAAAGGTAGACTCTTTAGAGTTAAGGCCCCCATCCAAGGTTACTGAGTCAATGCATTTCATCAAACAGCTATATTCATCCATGTAAGATGGGAGAACATGTTCTATAGCTTCATTGTAAGTCCAGTGTGAGGCATCTCAGCCCTTAAGTGGTACCACAGTCAACACAGCCACATTGGACACTTGCTCAGTATGTATATATTTGGATTTTAAAAAAAGAAATTCTATTATGGCTGGATCCCATTGTTTTAATTTATCCCCATTCTCAAAGCCAGAAATACAACTCCCACCAACTTATTCTGTTTTGTGAAAATTAAAGTATACGTTTGCCTTGGAGTGATTTGTCAAATTTATTTTATATGTGCGTGTGAGGTCCTTTGCTAAGGACATATGAATCTGACATTCATCTAGTATTAGATTTAACTTGATTTACTACATTTGAACAATATATGTATGAGATTTTGGGCCAGACGTAGCTATTAATCACTGTTTTTCTAGAAGCTTGGCTTCATATTCAACGATTCGCTAACAGAAATTTAGACACTGATAGATATACTGTTTTATGGCAATCGAAAAATCCATATATGTGCAGAGAATTTGCTTGCTGCACACCCAATAGTCCCAACTTTTGACTTGTTTCCAATTGTTTCCTGTTAGTTGATTATTTATTGCTTTTCCTCCCCAACCATAAGATTATAGTGAATCTGAGCTGACCATTGTTATACAAAAGGCTTTCTCTGCTCTGAATCCTCATCTGTCATCTTCAGCCCTTACAAATTCCATTAGTCAAAAATATGCATTCAACTTTCTCTGCAGGTAATAAAATCGTATGAAAAGTTCCATAATTTCTTCTAGTTTTTGAGTTGGATCTATCATAGTTTTAAAGAGAGATGAGAAAAGGTATATATGTGGATCGACATATATATTTTTTGCTTTCCAAAGGATACAGTATTATAATATGCCTCTGTTTTTCTAGGCAAATAGATGTTGTAAATACAAAGCCCTAATTCTGTTTACCATAGAAAAAAAGTTAGATATGTCTATGGAACACAAGTCATAATTCATAATTCTAAATCTGATTGCAAGTCTTAATTTCTTTTCCGTGGAACTACAAAATGTCAGGAAGAAGAATACTGGGGAGCAGTTGCTTTGTATTATCATAGAAAATATTAGGATTTTTAAACGCGAGTTCATGCTGCAAGTTAGAGTGCCCACTTACTCTTATCCACAAAGAAAAAGAAATATAATGTGTTAATTAAGAAGGCCCAGATTTTTCTAAATTTTCATATACTAATGTAGGATCATGGCAGCAGCTCAGAGTGGCTTGTTATTTCAGAATCCTGGTTTCTGCACTCGCAGTATTACACCTAATAACAGTTCTTTAAAATCGGGGGCGGGGGGGGAGAGGGAGGGTACAACTTGGTCTAAAATCCTAGTTTATTACGGAGGGAAAGATATGTTTAAGGCCCTTCTCTTCCTTGGTGCTATAAAGCAGGCCACTTGGTCATGCTATCAGCCATGCTTTGCCAGGCCTATTAGGTTGCTCTTTCTTACCTGCTGACTAACTGGAGGCATCTTAAAGTAGTTCTCTAGCTACAGCTATGTGGAAATCCAGTTTTGACAGTTTGCTTTTATTTATATATCAAACTTCTTAACCACTTATCTCCCTCATAGAGATAAAGTTCACACTGCAAAACACCAGCAATCACTCATAACTTTACTTGAAGTTCCTGCACATAGTTTTTTTTAAATAGCTTTTTATTAAGTTCCTCTCATTTGTAAACAACTTTTAACTATGCACTCCCCTTATTAGGGAATAGCTCTGCTTTTACAAAGAACTTGGCAGAAGTAGAGCAGTTGCAATCCAGTTTTTAACTGTAGATCAGTAGGGAAAACACCTGATAACTATCTATGCCAACCAAATTTGCCAAGAAACGTTGAGCCATTTACATCCTGTTTGCAGTCTCCAAACAATTGCATTATTGCACAATATAAATCCAGCTGTTATACCACCAAGGACAGGAACTGGGGAGAGAAGGTTTTAGACAGATTTTATAAAAGTAAGAGCTTCTGTTATGGTGAAATTACATCTTTTAATTATTTTTCTATACATTGCAATAATTTGTGGGGATAGCTTGATATTTTCAAGCAGCATAGTTTCCTCTTGAAATCTGGGAATAATTTATAAAATGATGCTGCCAAAGCAGTATTTTTCAGAGGCCTGTTTTATATCTAATGTGTAATTAAAAGTTGTAATTCCCTTTGTCACACATTTGTATCTACAATGTAGCATGCACCACATATTAAAATTACACCCAGTAGTAAGATTTCAGCCACGTATTTCTTAAGTATCTGGGGACAAAGAAACCCAAATAAATATTACAGCTGAATAAAATAATTTGTCTCTATTTAGTTAGCTTTATCCAAATCAAAACATTATCTAAAATAACCAGACATTTGCGTCAATCTTCCTTCTCCTCCACTACCAGGACTGTACACTATGAAACAAGATAAAGTTAATCATATTGGATATTGATATTGGATACTTAAGATGTAAAATATTTAGTATTCCTATATTTGTTGTTATTGAGAGTTCAGTGGTGATGTTCTTACACTGCCTCCTATATAAAACTAGGAAAGGCGCATATAATACCACTCTGCTATTATTAGTAAAAATTCTATATTTTACAAACAAATTAAAATAACTCCTCTAGGAATATGCTTTGTCCTCTTATATCTTGGGGGGTGGAAATCAAATGAGAAATTGAATGTCCTACATTGGAAGCCTAGTCTGAGTAAAATTCTCTATTATTCCATTTTCTATGAGCAGAAAATTTCTCATTTTTTCTGCTTCTGAGGGAGATCACAGGAGTATAAGATGAATTCTACTGATCTGGATCAACCTAGCCCAACTTTATCTTCCATTAATAGCCAAGTAAATAAAAAGGTCAAAGTCATGATGTCAGTAGCTCCTGCTTGCTGATATTATCTTGTAAATGGTATTAAATGAATTCATTATTTCTAATGAAAAGGAGAATAGTCAGTGAAGAAATCTACTAAGCTAGTTTGTTGGTTTCCAGCAAGCATAATTATGTTGGCTACACTTTGAGGTGTTGAACGATGAAACACAAATCCACAATTAGCTATATGTACCTTCCCCTATTTTTCTTGATTTTGTAAAAATTCACTTGTCCTAATAAAAATGTTCTATTTTTTCCCCTCAGCCAGTATGAATACTAAGCTATTTAGAAGAAAAAATATACATTTATTTCACGTAGTCTTAAGTGCTCACCCTGCTGTAAAATCTTTAAAGGAATATATTTGGTTATTAGGAAATGCATTCATATATAGAAATATGCTAATTAAGCAACATATCAGTTCAGCCATAAAGAATTCTGGTCTTTATGCACAAATTATAATTTGGAAGTTATGCCAGTAAACAGATGGGTGGAAAATGTTGCTTATTTGAATATTCATTTAATTTTCAAGTGCTCGATAAAAATATCATGATTCTTATAACATTATTGTTCAGTATTGCAGGTCAACTGTTTTAAATAAGAACATTTCAAAAGTTATTTATAAAGTGCAATGATAAAATTTTAATAATTCATTCTAGATTCAAAGTGCCCCCCCCCCCCCAGGAAACACAGTATGTATTCTCTAAGAAGGTTTGTATATTTTAGGAGTAAAACCTTTGTATCTATAAGAGCTTCAGTGGCATAGTGGTTAGAGTGCAGTACTGCAAACTACTTCTATTTCTACTTCAGATTGAATCCCACCAGGCTCAAGGTTGACTCAGCCTTCCATTCTTCCGAGGTGGGTAAAATGAGGACCCAGATTGTTGGGGGCAATATGCTGACTCTGTAAACCACTTAGAGAGGGCTGTAAAGCACTATAAAGCGGTATATAAGTCTAAGTGCTATTGCTAGTATTAACAACACATTATTTTTCATTGGGAGAGGACAATTAGATGTCAGGCATAAACCTGATAGTCAAGCAACTTGATAAATGAGAAAGCAAAGGAACAATTGCCTATTACAATTACAATCCCGACCTACATAATAATAATGCCTCATGTGGGGCGCCGAAAAGAGCCTGTAACTTGTGTGGCTGGTTGGTGCCCTGAGAGTTGTCCCTTCACTTTTTAAATTATTTTAACATAATTAAATAATTTAATTATTTTAATTAATTATTTTAAAAATTATTTATTGTTGCCTCCCTCTAAAAAATAATTTCAAAATTGTAATTTTAACATTTTAATTTTATATACTGTTTTTATATTTTGACATTTTGTTGTGGACTGCCCAGAGTCCTTCTCTGAGTGAATTGGGCAGTTCAGAAATGTAACAATAAATAACACCTGCTCTGCTCTGTCTGAGGGAGCATGCATTCTTTGATGCTAATCAGCATTCAAGAATGCCCAAGAACTCCAGTGCTTCACTGTCCATACTCTAAATTTGCATGGGATTAGCAAGACAAAGGGTTGTGTGGAATTCAGGTGGACGAATATTACTTTCAGCATATAATTGGAGAATTTAATTCTACTATTTGGTTTTGCAAAATCCAACCCTAAGATATTTTTAACCATTAAGCAACATGAATCTTCAGTCTGCATAGTCCTAAAACTAATTTGATGTGTAATATATGACTTCAAATGATTGGCAATATGCAGAGGTATTCAGTATTTGGCTATTTATTATTGTTGGAATGCAATGGTTCTAATTAGAAAGCGTTTTCTCATACGTCATACTAACCTGCATAGGCCACAAATATAGATAGTGGTCAGTTTACCAGACTTCATATCCAATAAAGTAGTTGAGAATTGCACACAAAATTAAAATTTTGAAGAGGAAATGTCAAGAGGATTTAAAATTAAATTTGATAATATGTTCCCATTCACATGCAGTTTTGAATTCTGAATCCCCCAAATATCTATTAAAATAATGTTATACTTTGTGAGGACATAATCTTCTCAGAATATAATCTCTACAAAATATAATCCTTCCATATTTTTGTCAAGAAAACTACATGGATATGTTCATTAATTCACCAGGAGTCAGGTCGATTTGAAGGAGATTTTATCTTTTATGGTAAAATAGAAAATTGTTAAATAGGTGTACTTTTAAAAAAGAAATAAGTTTAGTGTAATAATACAGACAATCTCTTTTTCACAATGACTTGTTTATTAAAAACATTTTTGCTGGAAGCA